AAGCGCTGGATCACGTCGGCGCGCTGCTCCACCGTGAGCTCGGCCGTGAGCATGGCCACGCGGTGCCCGTCGGCCGTCATGGCCAGCGAGAGCCACTCGGCGAGCTTGCGCGTCTGCCAGGAGGCCACGTGGCCACGGGCGCCCACCACGGCGCCGCGCCGCCCCGCAACCCGAGGAACSCCCCCGTCACCCCACGTGGGATGAGCGCCTCGGGAAGAGCCAAGGGGGCGGGAGGAGCCAAAGGGCGGGCGCCCACCTGGCAGAAGATGATGGCCTGGCCGATGGTGATGCTGCCGTAGATGTTGCAGAGGGCGCGGTACTTGTCCCAGCGGCTCTCGCACACGAAGTAGTACTGGCGGATGGTGCTGAGCGTGAGCTCCTCCTGCCGCAGCTTGATGACGATGGGGTTGGCCACGAGCTGCGTGGCGAACTGCCACACGGCCGTCTTGAAGGTGGCCGAGAAGAGCAGCAGCTGGCAGTCGGGGCGCAGCGCCCTGCGGGCACACACGGCGCCGTGGCGGCGGCGCCAACCGTCGCCGGCGCCCACGGGGCGCCCGCGCCCACCTCTGCACGCGGATGCTCTGGCTGCAGAAGCCCTGCGTGTCGATCATGATGTCGGCCTCGTCCAGCACGAAGACGCTGATGGTGCCGGGGTCGAGGAGGCGCCGCTTGAAGCACCAGTCGAGCACGGTGCCCGGCGTGCCGATGACGATCTGCTCCTTCAGCCGCGTGCCCGGCGCCACTGCGGGCCCAAAAAAACATTGTTCACCATTATTAACTATTAGATCACCACCTTACATCTTTATCCTGCATCCTTTTGGCATTTACCCATATATTCTTACTTTTATTTATTATTATTATATTATTATTATTATTATTACTACTATTATCATCATCTTTATCATCTTTATCATCTTTATCATTGTCATTATCATTGTCATTATCATTATCATTATCATTATCATCATTTTATAGTGTTCTCCCATTTCCATTTACCATTTAGCCTCCATCATCATCATCATCTAGCGTTATCCCATCATCATCATCATTACATATCGCTATCCCGCTTTCATTTAGCATTTAGCCTATACCATCATCATCATCATCATTTAGTGTCATCCCATTTTCCTTTACCATTCAGCCCATACCCAGCCAGCGTTTAGCCCACATTCCACCAGTATTATACATCACTTTCTTATTTATTATTATTATATTTTATTATTGTTACTGCCCTATAGCATTATCCCCGATTCCTTTAGCTTTTATCCTATATTCACGCAATGTTTAGTCTATATCATAGCATTATATATTATTATATATAATATAATACAATATATTATATTATATTATATTATATTATATTACATATTATATAATATAATATATAATATAATATAATATAATATAATATAATATAATTATATTATATATAATAATTATATATTATATAATATGTAATATAATATAATATAATATAATATAATTATAATTATGATATGATATATATTATATTATATTATATTATATTATATTATATTATATTATATTATATTATATTATATTATATTATATTATATTATATTATATTATATTATATTATATTATATTATATTATATTATATTATATTATATTATATTATATTATATTATATTATATTATATTATATTATATTATATTATTATATAGTATTTTCTTCTCCAGCGCTGCCCGGTGTTCGCCTGGGGCTTAGCCTATATTCAGCTAGTGTTTATCCCCTTCCTCACCATTATTATATACCACTATTCTCATTCCATACCATTATCCTATACTCGCCCAGCACTTAGCGCATATATGGCCATCCTATAGGGTCCTCCGCCTATATTGAGCTTGGCCTGCGCTCCTTTAGGCTCCAGCCTATTTTATAGCATCTTTATATAGGGCATCACTGCGTTGTCCTCTGCCCCACGGGCCACCGCTCTATACGTTACCCGCGCTATACGTGGCACTCACCGCGGTTGCCCTGCACGGCGAAGGTCACCTTGACGTCGGCGCAGAACTGGCCCATGCGCTCCACCACGCGCCCGATCTGCAGCGCCAGCTCGAAGGTGGGCGCCAGGCACAGGCACTGGCACAACGGGGCCGTCAAGGGGACACCGGGCACTGTTGCCGTCCCCGGTGTCCCCGCCGCTACCTGCGGCTGGCAGCGCGCGGTGTTGACGCGGCTCAGCATGGCCAACACGAAGGCCGCCGTCTTGCCCGTGCCCGACTGGCTCTGTGCAATGAGGTTTTGGGGCCTGCCGGGGAGAGGAGGATGATGGTGACGATGGTGACAAGGGCAGGGAGCAGCGTCCCGGGCCGGGCGGGCGTTGGGGACACGCACGGGTGCGCCAGCATCATGGGCAGCGCCGTCTCCTGGATCTTGGAGGGCCGGTTGAAGCCCATGTGGTAGATGCCGCGCAGCAGCTCCTTCTTCCTGCCGAAAGGAAGCGGGATGCGGAGCGGCGGGACGCGGAGCCACCCCCCRGCCGCCGGGGACACTCACAGCGGCAGCTCCTCGAAGGTCTTGACGGAGAAGAGCGGCGAGGCGGGGTCGCGCTGCAGCACCTCCACGTGCTGGCTGCTCTCCACCAGCGACGTGCGGATGAGCTTGTTGAGCAGCGAGCTCTCGGCCGAGTCTACTGCGGCGCCCACGGAGCGGCAGGAGGAGGAGGAGGAGGAGGAGGGTTGGGGGGCGCTGAGGTTAGGGGCCCTCCTCAACCGCCAGGACCCACCTTTCTCCTCCTCGTCCTCGTCATCGTCATCGTCGCTGGCGTGCTCTGGTTCTGGCGGCGGGAGGGACGGTGCTGRGGGCACCGGGGGGCACGGGGCCAGGCGGGGTGGGGGGACGGGGCTTGAGGGAGTGCGAGGGGGCAGGTCTGGGCTGGACGGCCAAGGGGCACAACTGTCCCCACCGTGGGGTAGGGAAATAGTCTACCTTGGGGAGGAACAGGTCTACCGTGGGGAGGGACAACAGGTCTACCCATAGACTGGCCTACCCCAGGTTGGGGTAACAGGTCTACCCACGGACAAGCCCTCGATGGGAAGGGCAACAGGTCTACCCCCACGTCGGGGTAACAGGTCTACCCACGGACAAGCCCTCGATGGGAAGGGCAACAGGTCTACCCCCACGCCGGGGTAACAGGTCTACCAATGGACAGGCCCTCGAGGGAGAGGGGTAGCAGGTGTACCCCAGATTGGGGTAACAGGTCTACCCGGCGGCACCAGGTCTCCCCGATGGGGTAACAGGTCTACCCGCGCACAGAGCGCACCGGGGCGGGGCAACACGTCTACCCAGAGCGGGGTGGCAGGTCTCCCCCGGCCAGGGCCCGCCGTGGGGCGGGCTGCCGGTGGCCCCGCCAGGCCGGGGCCCGCTTACCGCGGCGACACAGCGCGAGGTCGCGGCGGGCGAGGCGCGGCACGCGGAGCGCGGCGAGCTGCGGGGGGAGAGGCGCCGTTGGCGGGGCCGGCGGGGCG